GTTTCTTTTTTTGCCCATAATTAGCTCATAATTAAAAATATATCATTAATTTTTATATCAAACTCCATCCTTCTATTAAAATTTTCTGATTTTTTTCTATCTAAATAAAAAAGGAAACAATTTGATCACATAGGATTGAAGATCACTCAAAACGGTCATTGAACTATGTTAAGATTGTTTCGATCTTTCATATCCAATTTAAGTTACAAGTGCACAAATACGGCACAAATACGTATAATAGTACTATCATTTTGTATTAACTATTCTGCAAATACGTACTTCTAAATATTTATCATTTTATATTTAATTAAAACTTTGAGTCGTTTTAAACTAATTTTAATAATTCAATTCGGGTGGGAGACTAAGCACTACCGCCCTGAGTGTGTACATTAAATAATCCAAGTGTATGCACTATGCAGTATGCTTGTACATATCTAGAGCTACGTTGAAGTAGTTTAAATTTTAAATAATAAAAGAACCTATAAAAACTCAAAAGGAGCTACAAACCTAATAAAAGGAGGCTGCTAGCATAAAAGGAGCTATGAACCTAATAAAAGGAGTGGCATTCCACTCTTGGACAGTTGCTAGCATTAGCAAGATTATACCATAAAAAAGATTTAGCAAGATTATGATCGATTTTCTTATAAATATAGTCATATTTAACAAAGTATACCCGTTGACATAAACAACGGGTCATCATTTAGCGTGCCATGTACGTTTGGTCGTCTGGAATGGTGAGCGTGTTTATTATTGGAATGGTGAGCATGACATGGACTACCTCTACAAGGACATCCAGACGACCAAACGTACATGGCACGCTAAGTGTAGCATTATGTCATTGATGAAGTATATGGCCCAGGAACCTTATGCCCACATACTTCCACTACTACAGCCAGGCCTAACAGGTCCAAGCGGCCCAAACACAGCAAACAAGACTCCGGACATCTCATACTGCAACAGGTTACTGCCTTCGGCTCCATGACCGTACGCCACATATTGTAGCATTATGCTATCTTTACGTGAGCATGACATGCTACTATAGTTGCTAAGTAGCGGCGCACCGTTGCGTTCAGTGTTGCACACACGTACATGGTGCTACTTCGAGGGAGCTAAATTGCTAATGACAAATCATGGGTAGGAGTGGGCATGGTTGGTTAACCGTATTTCGGTTAACCAATTTATGGTTAACCGAAATATCGGTTAATATGTTTATGATATCAGTAACCGTACCATAATGACGGTTAACCGGGTAACAATTAACCATCTCATAGGTTAACCGTTAATCGGTTAACCAAAAAACCGTATATACAAAGTATATGAATAAACTACTAACTAGGTTTGTTTTAATATTGCCGTATGAATAACGCCCTATACTAAATTACGTTACAGACGTAGTAAATTACGTATATGCAGTATTGTGGTTTTCAGAATAACTTTTTTACCAACTGGAAGTTTACTACAATATATAATACTACATACGGAGTACGTATTAAGAAGAATTTATACGGAGTACGTAATATGCTTCAACTGTGATTCAATATGTACTCGTACTGTCTCGTAGTGTATAACTAAAAAAGTTAGATTTGAATCATACGTTTCAGAAAGTTGAGAAAATTTCTTGTAAGATGCAATACCATATTCTTTGAATCTAAAATGAAATTTTAAATATAAAATCCGAAAATAAAATTAAATATTAAATCTAAGATGCAATACCATATATATACTCCGTAAATTTGTAAATAAATATGGACAAGGAGTTAATATTGAATATAATACAGGGAGTTTTATGAACTCACATTGGATAAATAAGCAAAATGTATGTATGAATTTGGGAGCAATATATTAACTTTGGATTAGCGGTTAACCGGCGATATTTAATTTCAAAACCGTAACCGTATAGTAAAACGTTTTTTCTACCGGTTGATTAACCGTCCCGCAAGATTTAAAAAACACGGTATGATTAACCAAAACAAACATCGTTTTTTCGGTTATTTACCGCGGTTAATCGGTTACAGTTTTTTTCGCCCACCCCTAATCATGGGATGACTCATATCGGCCCTGCAAATCATGGAACAATAGCACACCAATGCAATTTAGGTGCGGTATCCACACTATTAGAGTAATCATTGTCTCATTTATATAAAATCCATTTAATTCTTAGAAGAATGGATCAAGCTCAATTCAAGGATTATATTTATTGCGCCTTTTAATTATTTTCGGCAATCTCTTATGTAGTATTACTAGCACAGTACTCGTGCATACGCACGGGAAAAAACAAATGGTCTATATATATTTTTATTCACGATCTCATTAAATATTAAAACAGTTTTTTTTACAATTCTACATCTTTTCAAAAATGAAGTACAATGTGAATATCAAAAAGTATAAATTCATACAACAAATATTAGAAGTAAAAAATTAAAGTAAAAAATTGATACAATCCATTAGAATTTGCTACGTAATAGTAATTAGTATTTTTGGTAATGGATAATGAAATATTAAACTTATTGTTAGAGTTTTGAAAAGGTACTTTAAAGAGAACTTTTAGTGATAATGTCTCATGGTTTTCTTTTCTTATCATGTATTAAAATTATCAATCCATATTTTGTAAACCCTTGATAACACCACATATATAAAGTTTTACATGACTAAAATGCCTCTAGGTACGAATATTTCATTTTTTCCACTGATAGAGCTTAATATTTATTGATTGTCATAACATAGGCTACAATTATAGGAACATGTCTTCTCATAAGTTGAAGAAAATCTTCAATGCAAAAACGTGAATGGTGCATACGTGACATGAGAGATATTCGATTAAAAACAACAAATATAATACTATCGTATTTCTCTTCTTATTTGAACGGTCTTATATGTTTTTGGTAAATTTTCTCCATAAAAGGTAAGTTTTTCTCCATAACGTCAAACACAATGTCTAGATGTAGACATTGTGGTTGACATTGTTAGAAAAATTTACCAAAAAACACATACGATCGTGGAATGAAGAGTTAAATGTCATAAATTTAATTTTTGTGTCTAACTCTCTCATGCACATGTGCACCATGCACATTGCACCATTCGGCAATCTCTTATGTAGTACTCCGTATTATTTTTCAACGGATTTAGTTGCATCAAATGGTATTTAGTTACTTGCCAATTAAGGATGCCAATTCCAATAATATCTTCTCACAGTTATAAGATGATATTTACTACAGTAGCAAATAAAAAACGAAAACAAGAGATCAACATGCAACTTTATAATAGGACTAAAACATAGTTAAAATGTATACGTAAGAGTCAATGTTTTAAAATCTCTAAACAAAATTCATAATTTGTGATTGGACAAAAACACCTTCTATGGAGAGTATTCTTATAATAGGAATAAAACACAGTCAAACTGTAAAAACAAGAGCCAATGTTTAAATTTTCTAAACACGAGTCATAATTTGTCATTGGACAAAAACACCCTTGTAGGGATTGAAACTTTGTCACCGGACCGCTGCCGGTCGTGGAACTGTCGCCATATTCTCTAGTTAAGTAAGGTTGGGGGAATTAGTTACGTTAAGGGTAGAAATGTAATGTTTATTCCTATTTAAAAAATATAAAACATGAACTTCTATGTAGGGACTTAACCATGTTTTAATCATATGCTTTAATCATATTTAAGGTAATTTCTTAATTCTATATTGCCATAGCATCATCTTTTTTAGTTAATCATCTTTGACTTTTTTGTCAATGATATTAAAATTATGTCAATTGTTTTAGCTAATAAATAGTAAGAAATATGTTTTTGCAAAAACTTTTAAATTTTATGATATAAAACATGCATTTCTCGACTTTTGGGTGAAAAATGTTTTTTACTTTTTCTATTACACAAAAATCACTTATTTTATAAAACATGAAAAAATTCAATTTTTGGTCTCATGACTATTATACCACTTCCACATTTAGTCCCTTACTTTCAGATTGTACACATTTAGTCCGTGACCAATATCCCCTCACCACCCCTCGTCCTTCCGGCCAAAATTCCGGCAAATTTAATGCAAATTTTAGGTATGAAAAACCAAATTTAATGCAAAGACTGATATGAAAAACCTAACCTAATACAAAGTTCAATGCAAAGACTGATTCTGAGGTTGAGAAGTGGACTAAATTTGCCGAAATTTTGGCCGGAAGGACGAGGGGTGGTGAGGGGATATTGGTCACGGACTAAATGTGTACAATCTGAAAGTAAGAGACTAAATGTGGAAGTGGTATAATAGTCATGAGACCAAAAATGGAATTTTTTCATGTTTTATAAAATAAGTGATTTTTGAAAAAGGGATAATGGTCACGGACCAAATGTGCACGATCTGAAAGTAAGAGACAAAATGTGAAAGTGATATAATAATCATGAGACCAAAAGTGAAATTTTTTCTATCAAACATTACCAACTTTTAGTTTTCAAAATCAATTTTTTCTCAAACACTATCAATTTTACTGTTAATCACTTTTTTCAAAATCACTTAAAAAAGTACCCCCTCCATTCTCTAATACTTGGTCCTCTTTTCATTTTGGGATGTTCTCTATTAGTTATCTCCCTTTTCACTTTTGGTAAGTTTTTTCAATAAATATACTCATTTATCCTCATTCTCTTTACTACTTTTTCATTCTCTTTCCTACTTTTACCTTTACATACAATCCATTACACCTTTTATCCTACCCCTATTAATTCCTTTTTAAATCTTGTGCCAAGACTATACTCCGAGAGAACACGGAGGGAGTATTTTTTGGGGAGTATTTTTTTTAAGTAAAGGTATTTGGAAACACCCCTTTATCTCTGGTTGGAAATTCCGTTCAATAAAACGCATTAGAATAAAAAATGCATAAAGGTGGAGAAGACAAAAAGAAATGAAAATACTTTCAAAAGAGGATTAATAATTTGTGGTCCCCGCCGTATATTTTATCTGTACTCTTTACAGCAATAATGGCATGCGATTTTTTGGTTGTGTTATTTGAAATCCAATTCAAACATTTTCTTTAATGAAACTTCCCTTCAAGCAAACCAGAAATAACACATAACGCCATTTTCTCTGTCCCCCCTCTCCCTCTCTGCACGGAAAACTCATAGCTCCATTAATGCCCGCCTCACATTTCTGTGTTTTCAAACTACTTCCTCTCTCTAAGCTACTCTCTATTTCTTCTCTCTTCCCTCGATACAACTCCTCTCTCTCCATTTGTCCTTCATTGATGGATCGATGAGCTTAGAAGTGAATGCAGGCTATGGTTCTCGAGGCGCAACAGTGCTCTAGTCCGTGATTTCCGATCTCTGGTTTTGCTTCTTCGAAATTTCTTTGCTCTTTTAAGTTTCCGTTTCCGTTTCAAATTTAATGTAGCTTTTTAGCTATTGTTTTCGTTTTCCTCAGCCGTTCGTTAGTGTGCTTTCTGAAATGGAGGACCCTCCTCGTCCCAGAAAGTTCAAACGAGCTTCAGTTTCCTTTGAAGGTAAAAACGAACGCATAAGTGTGAAGGTTCTAAAACTCTAAAAGGGTCATGTGTGCTTAGTAAATCAGAAAATTGAGAACAGAAGTGAATTAAGTGAGGAAATTCTATTTTCTTCTTGAATATCACCTGTCGTGGTCTACTGGAACTAGCACTGCCGTGTTAATTTCAGGAGTTGGATTTATTCGTCCTAGTATTAGCCTAAGCGGACTAGCAAACTAAGAGTATTATTAAAATATGAAAAGTGGAATATATATTAAATACGTCTTGCAGTCTTATGATTTATTTTTTCAATGAATTTCCCCGCATTTAATGTTTCTGTGCGTGCTCATATGTCTGCTGCATTTGTTTATAGATTTTTCTTCTTGCATTTCTGCTTAAGTGGCCCCAGGCAGTTTGTGAACAATTTTAATTTTTGTCTAGCGACAACCTATAAAATATTTACACCTTAATTACAACTTAGGCGTTTTTAATTACAAGTTAGTTGTTTCTGCACAGCTGTAATCTTCCAAAGGGGTATCGAAGGTTGAGTGCTTTTGTAACTGTAGTTTGTTTAGGTGATTTATGATCAGCCACTGATAATCTACTGGTGGACGTGGTACCAGCTTTGCTCCCTTGAAGCAAAACCCTGGTCATTCATGACAAATTTTGACAGTTCCTCATAAATGTGCTTTCCTGTTTCCTTAATGTTTTTAAATCCTCTTCCCACCAGTTTGTGAACAAATTCTTGTGATTTTGCATTGCTCTATGCAGATTACACTTTGTTTTTTGTTTTAATTGAAACAATGAGATAAGTAGAGCATTTGCGATGAGCATATGTGTACACAAAAAGGGTGAGTTATTATGGTGCAAAAAAGCTTTTTGTACTACATCATTTCTTTGATGAATTTGAACATACACAGAGTTTTGGTGGAATCAACTGTTGCATCTTTTGTGCATTTATTAAAACGTTATGAAGTGATGCTAATTGTATTGTGATTTAATTTGTACCAGGAAGCATAAAGGTCCAAGAAAAGATCACAGCTCCAAAGCCCACACATAATTCTGTCTGTCGTTATGATTCAACTGCTAATGAAGATATGGTCTGCAACTTAACCGACTCATAGCTTATTTAGCCAATGAAAACAAATGTCTGTGATATTTAGTTAATGTTTCTTATTTTTAATCCCATGGAATCTGCAGTTCATGATTGAGTTGGGGGAGAGTGCATCTGAAGGAGATATAGTGAAGCCAGTCAAGAATTTAATTGCAAAGGAGATGTTAATTCAAGTTGAACCAAAAAGAAAGGAACCAAGTGTCGTTGCCAGATTGATGGGTCTTGATGATATACCTTCTCCACAACAATTTACTAGACAGCAAAGGAGGCCCCCAGAGAGTTTCACACAGAGGAAAGAACAAAGAGAGGCCCCAAGGACTATGCAGATGTTTGTGGACCAAGCACATAGAAGGAACTATACGGAGCATCATCAAGTCAATGATCTGAATGAGGATTTGGAAGCTTCTTATATTTCTACTCGGCGCTATTCATCAAGATGGAATACAAAGCCTGAACATAACACGCACATGCCTGAGATGGCGGTCATTCAGCATAAATATTTAGAAGCAGCACAACTCTCTGCTGATGAGAAACTTCAGAATTCCAAAGTATTTCTTGACGCATCTAATGAACTTGAATTTAATGATAAATTACTGCTAAAATGTCGCCCGCAACACGATTCCATATTTTCAAAGCATTTTCTTGATAAACAAGTTGACACTTCTAGTTCTATGTATAGTCGCATAGCTGTTCTAAAACCAGCAACTTCTGCAAATAGCCAAGGCACTTCAATACTTGGGAAACCAGGGAGACGTGGTTCAGGCCATCATGATATGAATTTACCAAGGAGAAGAGATAATGCTCACTTGCTCCATTTGCAGCATCCTCATGGAGGTCACAGTTCTTTCAAGTCGCCTAAGATTCACGTTAAAGGGAAAAGTGAAAGAATTTTTCCAACTAGAATTGTGGTTCTGAAGCCCAACTGTGGGAAGACACACAGTGATGTTACTTCTGCTCAATATCGCGCTGAAGAAAAGAAGCCTGGAAAGCGTCTAAGCTTTGGGGCAGGGAAATCTGGGTCAGCGGAAATAAAAAACTCTTCTAAATATGCACATGATTCAAGTTTTTATTCAAAAGAAGCCAGAGAACTTGCCAAGCAGATTACAACGCGCATGAGAAATAGTCATGGACCTTCAGATGTGCGAAAAGATTCAAATTTGGTATATTCTGACATTATAGGTTATGCCACTGACGAGATCTCACGTGATGTGTATGAAAGTGATTCTTCCAACGAACTAGACATGTTGAAACCGTGTTCGGGGAGTTTGTATTGCAGAACTAACCGATGCAAATCTCTGTTAACTGGCACAATTGAGTCATCTGTGAGCAAGGAGGCTAAGCAGAGGTTATCTGAAAGGTGGAAAATGTCTCAAACTTGTCAGGACATGGAAACAGCTAGCAGGGGAAGTACACTTGGTGAAATGCTTTCCTTACCTAATAGAGAAACAGAGTCTGAACGTTTAGATGCCATGGAGACCTTTGATAGAAAAATTGGGGGAAAGTGTACCGATGCTTGGGAATACCCTTTAGGTGTTAGCAGTAGGGATGCTCGGAAAGATGGTTACATTTCTTCTAGGTCCAGATCACTTTCTCCTCTTGGTAGCCAAATTCAGGGAATGAGTACACGGCAAGAAGTAAGTCCAAATAGCCGAAACTTGAGGCTTAGAGTGCGTCTAAATGGTTTAAGGTCCATGGACCATAGTAGAAATAAGTCGTGGGATGGAAGCCAAAGTCAAGTGGAGGAGGTTTCATTTAGTGACAAAAGATCTGGCCGGAAGAAACTACGTTCTTGTCACCGCAAAGGCACTGGTGCTAATGATACTTTCCAGGAAGCAATATTCTGCAAAATGATGAATTCCACTACAGAGTGCAACCTGTCGGAGAAGCTGCATTTGCCTTTAGCTATGACAGTCAGCAAGAATGCAACTTCTGTTGTTGATTTATCTACACATACTGCATATACCGATGAGGGTAAAGCTTCAGAGTCTTCTATTGACCCAATGCAGAAGTCAATTTTAGAAAGCAATGATACTTTATTTCCTGAACAAGATGCGTCTTATATACAGGTATAACTACTCACAATTTCAATGACTCACCACTCACATGACTACATTGAGTTTTATTTGCCATACTTTTTTAAACAATCCTTTGATATTATTTCTTGTTGTACTTGTTGTTTAGTTTATGGTGGTTGAAAATATACTTCATCTTTGACTAAAAAACAGTGATGAGAGCCCTCATAATGCATGAATACCTACTAATTTCATGTATGGGTCACTGGACCATTCATTTAACACTTTTACATGCTTAGCTGCTGACATGTTATGACACTTGAAAAACAAGTAGGAGGTTAGCTGGCCACTATTAGAGTAGTCGTAGAAATTGAATTTTAATTTTCAGTTGTGAGGTGTGTTGGAAAAGTAATTGGAACAAGGTTTTGGGACTGGGCATAAAAAAAGAAGAGCAACTGAGTTATGTAGGATGTGAAAATTGCTATTTGCAGAGAGGAATTATCTTCCACTAGCTCACATCTTTTCACGGCCCTGTCAGGTTGCCTTTAAATAGGAGATCAAAGCAGCATTCAAAGGCTAAAATAGCGGATCAAGCTAACTAACTAGGATCAAGAATCATAACTCTAACCACTCTATTAAGTAGGACAACAACTAACAAGACAAGAATATAATTCACAACTAGCTATTTTAACACTGAAATCAGAGGAAAAAGAACACAAATATTACCTATAGCTTTGTGAAATACAAAAAAGTGATTAGTTTTCCTTATTTCCCAAACTATGACTAACCTTTTGTTTAATTGATTAAAAACACTCCTATTGTAATTTATATCCAATCTCTGTCCCAGCCCCAGCCCCAGCCCACACCTGCCCAGCCTCTGCCGGAAACCGCCGGAAAACTTTGGTGATACTTTTTTTTGCATTTTCGTTTTATTAAATTTGCCCGAAAAGGCGTTGGTAATTTTTACGGCGGTCACAGTGACATGTTTTATGGTGGCAGTGACATGTGTGGTGGCGACAGTGACATCAGTCAATGGTGTAAAAATCTGTTAGTGCTATATATTTTTTCCAAATATATTACCTTGTTAGTCACCTTTTTGTCCATATGTAAAAGTAGTCATGTTTTTTAGAAATGAGCTTCAATTTAGTCATATTTAAGGGAAAACCCCATTAATAAATAAATAATCTGGTCAACAACTCAACATCTCTTCTTAAATCTGATATGGGAGGGTCTTCACTCGAAGCAAGTGCCTTAGCTTGATGTACCTATCAAACTTCAATGGTTTATCAACATATCCATTGCTTGGTCTTTGGTCTTCCTACACTCTAATTTGATCACATCATGGTTAACCCGACTCCTCAGGAAAAGATATCGCGTATCTATGAGCTTGCTCCTCCCATGAAGCACATATTTTTTAGCCAAATTTGTATATGAAACACTGTCCACATAAATTTTGATTGGACCTTGTTTTAGGAAATCAAGTTGGCTTACTATTTTGCTAAGTCAACCTGGCTCACTAATGTTTGATGAAGCTTCAATATATGCTGCATTACATGCTCATAATGCAACAACAGGTTGCTCTTTTGAGGACCAAGAGCACACATAGAATATTCACTTCTATTATATGTTTTCTAATTTTTTTATTCCTGTTTCCCACCATTTCTGTTTTCTTTTTTTGGAAACACATTCAAAGTAACCAAAGTGGTGCCAAGGTTGCTAGTTTTGAAACACACATTTCCAAAGATGATGCTGAGGTCCCTACTTGTGGCAGTATTCACTGAAAATGGTTGTCAGCGGTGGTATTGATGGTTTCCGATAGTGGCGATGGTTGTCAATGGCGAAAGTGGTTGGTGATGTTGGTTACTGACAATGGCAGTAGTCGGTGTCCGTATGGGTGGTAGTTGTAGTGGCGATTTTTATGGAGGTAATCGTTGTTGGTAGTGAGGCAACAATTCTCATCTCTGCCATCACTGATGGTGAATTGGTGGTTGTTAGTGGTAACCGGTAAAGATTGTGAACAGCAGTAGGTGGTCGTTAGCGATTGTAGGCAGTGGTGGTGGTTGATGAAGACAATGGTTGTCAGTATTGGAAGCCAACCATCGGTGGTGGAAGAGTAAGTTGATGTCGTTGGTCGACGAGTCAATGTTAGGTGATGGTGGTCAATAATAATTGTGGCAGTCACAATGGTCAATGGGTGGTGATGGTGGCAAACGTTGCATGCAATGACAATGGTGGCTGTGGTAGAGGTGGATGATTGTGGCGATGGACAACATTACCAATATTTGTAGTGGTCGCATGTGACTAAGTGGGGGATCATGGACGGGGGGACTTAGGTGTTGGTGTGGTTGAATACTTGAATCTAAGTGGCAAGGGTAGAAAATGTTCCTGTGTGGCTGGAGTGAACAATGATGACAGTGGCAATGGTTCCAAAAGAATTCTATTTGTACACAAAATTTGTACACTCGAATACATTTGTAATTGTTTGTGCACACAGACAATGTGGAGACCCCCTACTTGCCTGTGTACACAGGCAGCTCGTGTAGGCACACACACAATTACGTACAAATGTGTACAGATTTTGTGTACAAGAAGAACTGTTGATGGTTCCAACCATGATTGTTGTTTTCACGGCCTGTTTTGGTGAAGGTGGTGAACTGGTAGCTGTGGTTGGCATCACTACTTCTTTATAACTTACTCCGTATAAGTTATAACTTTTGAAAAAAGTTTTCCTTTTTGTAATGATGGTGTATTCCAGCAAACTAGAAGAATGAAAAATAAATGTGTATTCCAGCAAACGTATCCATTTGCAACATATTCCAGCAAAAATGAATGTGTTTTCCTATTTCATTTTTGTAAACCTAGTATGTATTATATACTTCCTCTGCCCCTCATAACTTTGTCAACTTTCCTTTTTGGTTGTACCACTAAGTATGTTTTTACTTGAACTGAAATTTTCTGGTTTGGTCTGGTCTGGTAGATGTCTGGTCTTTGTGTATTTTATAATTGTTGAAGTCTGTTCTGTTAAAGTTTGGTCTTTGGTCTGGTCTGAGACTGAAATAAGTCCAATTATAAACATCCTAACTTTGGCACTTTCCCTTTTAAATAAAGAATTTGTGGTTCCCGTTTAGTTTCTCTCCTCTGCACAAATCTCAATCACACAGTTTTTACTTTATTATTCTACGTGCCATTCAACTTTGTCAAAGTTATAAGGGACAGAGGCGTATATAACATCATGTATTTCGAGCAATCAATTGCAATTGACATGTCCAAGAGTTGCAGTTAATAATACGATCAGATGTCAATGTGAATAATATTTATTGCCACTCATTTATGTGATTTATCTTGTCTAGGCCAGTAGTGATTTAGTCTGTTAGAACGAGATCCTTAGACTTACCATAGTTAAACTAATATCAATGAGTACACAAGAACTTGTATGCCCTTTATATCTTTTTGTGAATGCAACTCAGATATTAATTTGATTTAAAGGTTACCTCTCTAAGTAATCTGTTCGTTCATGCTATATGACCCATTTTTCTCTGAACATTTTCTGGATTTTCAGGAAAGTTCAGTCCTCACAGTACCTTCGCAATGTCATCTACCTGAATCAGAATCATCAGAAAGCTCCAGGGATGGCCATCCTAGTCCTGTTTCAGTTCTGGAGGGGCTCACTTTTACTGAGGATTCCCTCTCTGGTTCTGAATCCTTAGAGATAGTCAGTGCCAAAATAAATGGTAATTAAGGATTTGCAGAGTTTCATACTATATCTAAAAATGCAAAGTTCCAGATGCGCTTTGAGATTTAATGCTACATTACGTGATAAAATAAAGCATATTTCCATTTCTAATGTAAAAGCAGGTCGCAGAAAGCTTGGAAGTTGCTTATACAGTTACATTTTCATTTTCATTTTCATTTACCCCAATGCCGCAAAGGCTCCCACCTACGGTGGGGTAAGGGGGGGTCGGATGTACGCAGTCTTACCCCTGTACTAAAGCACAGAGTGACTGTTTCCGGATGACCCATAGTGAAAATCGCATCCAAAATTGCATGGACTGACTGCTGCTCCATAGTGAGCCATTTTGCTTTATTCCATCATAATCTCAAGTCAAAAAATAATGAATCTTTGGCTCCATTGCAAATGACGGAAAATATGTAGTTTCATGAAGACACCCTAAGAAAAAGATACAACAGTATATGTGTGTGTATACACACACACCCACACCCACACCCACACATATAAAGTTCCTGTTAAAATAGTCTAAGATTTGAATTAAAAATATTATGTAGAGATTTAGAAGTTTAAGGAAAAACAAATGCACAATTCTCATATAACCTCAATTAACGGGTGTCTTCCCAAAATTAACTGGTGACCTACATAAACCAAACCAATTCAGCAGGTCCTTAGGCCACATGGCACATTGTGTGATGTCTTATTCACTTGGTGCTTTAAATGGTTTACCAAGTTACTGGTCACTCAAGTTCATTTTGAGAAGTACCCCCTGCTACTGTGATTATACTGGAACTTTGCATTTGTGGGTTTATTCGGAGAACACCAATATATGGGATTGCTCTTATGAACTATTCCGAAGTGAAAGCCCTTTCTTCATTCACTGCTTAGGAGAAATCATGTGCGTTACATGTTTAAGTGAACAGTAACACTTTCATGTTTATAGGAGATTTTATGCAGGGTAAAAACCATACTATCATTGCTGCGAGTTCATCAGGCTCTCATTTTTTTGGCAAACCATCATGTAAAAAATGTTCTTTTTTTATTCTCCTGCATATAAGTGCAAATCATTGCTTACTTGTGTCATCCGCCATAGACATGTAAATTTCATCACTGCATTCATGGAATGCTAGTGATCCCCAAAATTTCAATTCTCATTAGTCCATAGGCGAGAATGATCACTTTGCAGTTCTAATTTCTTCTTGTTCTATTCTTGCTAGATCTACGCATGAAAATTCAGCAACTGAAAAAGAAGTCCTCATATTGTGATGCAGATGCGGCTGCAGATTACTTTAATGATTTTCCACAATCTGAAATGTTAATTGTTGAAGAGGAGAAATGCATGGAGATGTCCCCAAGCAGCTGGGAATCTTCCTACATAAGTGATGTGCTGATGGATTCTGGTTTTATGGAGACAGAACCTGATGCCTTCATTGCAACTTCCCACTATCTAGATTTCCCTCTCAGCCCCTCCACTTTTGAGAATCTGGAGAAGAAGTACAGCTTCAAAGGAGGGACATCTGTTGTTATATCAAGGCATGCCAGGAGACTCTTATTTGACCGATTGAATCTGGCTCTTTTGGAGATTCTCCAGCAGTATGTAGACCCCTGCCCTTGGTTGCAGAGAAGGGTTGTTGATGATTTGGGTTGCCAGAGACAACCCAAAGTCACCGATGCTTTGCCTCGCTTGCTTGCGGACCAGGCTAGTTTGTCAAACAGTGATACATCTGAGCGGATTCTAGATCAGGAAATGTGTTGGTTGGATGTTAGAGTTGACATCAACTTAATTGGTAAGGATGTTGAGAAATCAATTGTTGATGATCTGATCACAGAAATGTTAATGCTGTAGAGATTTTGAATCAGGAAGTAGGTGGGAACATGAATCAATTACATATATGATGATGTTAGATGGACAACAATAAGTGCATACATCATAGAATGACAGAACTTCATCAATCCGATGAAGTGTTTCACCTGGTACTAAACCATCATAGAATGTTTGCTCAAACGTGCGCCCATATCTTGGTCTCCCGCTCTTGATAAAATTCTTAAAATTTAGTCCTAAAAACTAACTTGGAACTTGTGCAATGGTAAACGCTTAACATCAGCTAGGGCTGGACACCATTCTGGTTACAGCCCAGTTCCGATTCCTGGTCACGTAAAGGGTAAAACCGAACCATAACAATGTCTACCCGGTCTGGTTCTTAGATTGGTTATAACTGGTTTCTTAGCCTATAACAAACAGGAAGCGGTCTGATTATAACTAGAAAGTGGCTTGGACTTGTTTCTCGGTACCAGATCTGGCATGGAACCAGAAATCTAGTTCGGTCTCCTGGTCAAACCCGGGGTCATGAACCATAACTGGGTACACCCCTACATGAGAGGTGTACCACTTTACCAAACGATAGCTTGTTAGTTGTATACGGAGTGTCTCATAAAACTATATGCATGGAGTAAAAAAAGATGCAGATCATCCATCATCTGCTCCCCTGCTTAGGCGCTTACTAATTGCAATGCCTTACTAAATTATCCTAGCTTGCCAATATTTTCCGTAACATCAACAATAGACGGAGTCTTGCGAATCTCTCACATCTAGGAACAAACGATCCTACAAAATTGCGTTTCTATGCATGAAGCCCACAATGTTTGTGTAATTGTTCCTTCAAAGTTTTTGTTCCAACTTCCAAGCAAATTCAGCAAACTGTGATTCGGGTTATTTCCAATTGGTTCAATTTCATCAAACAACAGAATCACAATATACTGTTTTTTGGTGAAACGAGACCTTGAACTGGACCTTCAGGTCCCATCAAAAGCCTTCATTCATAGCAAACCAAAACAAGAAATAACTTCATAGAGTTAAACAAAATAGTGAGTGAAAGAGTTAATTTTGTGGATACATTTTTGTAAGTCTACTATTTTTTTTAAGTTAAGAGGCCTTGCTTTAGTTGTGAAGTTGAGGCTCATAATATAATCGTTCATAATTTATCACATTTTATATCCAAAAAGTAAATTTATAATAAATGAATTTTCAATGCGGAGCATATCGGGCTCAAAAATATGTACTCTGTATCAAGGATCAGGGCTAGATGGGGAATAATCTTGTTAAATTTATTTTCTCTCTCTAGGGTTGCCATGCCGGTAACACCTAAGCTTTAGTCTGGTGGTGATCGTTCCGGCGGTTACGACACCGAGATTTTATTTGTTAGATGCGATTGTGTTGGAAAAATTATGCGATTACTCAATTCATTGCCCTTATTTGAAGCATTTGATAACCCGCTTACGCGGCGTTGTAGTAAAACGGAGTCTAACCTTTCGGTTTTTCCCTGAGTATCGTGTCTCTTGAGGAATGACAAAGGACTTTTCTTAATTTAGTCTTAGTCACGGGCTATCTCTAATCGTTGGAAGCTTTTTCAATACAAAAGAGGGTGATTGTTTTCTAAACTAGGCCAATTTGCAAAATTATAGCTAGGAACATATTTCAACTTAAAGATGAAGACTTAAGATCAAATATTCCAAGATTAATGACAAGATTGAGGCAAATAAGGGCAATGAATTGAGTAAATAGAAATGGATATATTCTTGGTCTAGTAATTAGGGGAATTAAAACTAAAATTGGACTAATAATTTCTTTTCTTATAGACAAGAATAGAAATTACTCTCATTAATTTATTCTATTTCTAGGTTTCATTAATGTATTCAAAAAGAGTTGACTTGAATTAAATTCTAATCTCATAGACAAGACAGAATTAATCCTCCAATATCTTAATTAATAAAAATAGCCAAATTCATTAACTAATTAAACTCATTATTTAAGCAAATTGAATTTATTTCTCATAAACAAGATGTAATTCCTTTTCATTAAAATTTCCTATTTCTAGGTCTTATTAATGTGCTTGAATAAGGTTGGCTCAAATTATTTTCTACTCATAGACAAGTTAGAAATAATTTTCCAAGATTTAATTAATGGAAATGGCTAACAATTATTAATTACTATTTCATCAATTTGAATAACTAGTCCAATTAGTTAATTTTAACCCCTAATTTTTTTGGCTAACAAGTCAATCCATATTCCTTTATTCAATTCATGCCCAAAACAAATTTAGCTACTAAACATTATTTTTGCATTCAACAATATAGTAAATAAATTGAACATTAACAAGGAATTTAACATGTATAATTGCAAAAATTAAACAAAAATTAAATTCTGGCAAAATAAACCGGTAGGAACTAAAATATAACTTTCTGGAATTTTTCATGAATTATTAGACTTAAAATCCAATTTTAACAACTAATCGATAATTTTTCCAATTTTAACTATAAAATGCAAAAGGCAACTAAAAATACCTTAAATTCATAATAAATTTTGTATAGACTACTGGGGTGATATTGCAGTGGAATAAACTGGAATTAGGACCGTAATTATTTTTTTCTATTTTTAGCTATTTAATTTAATTTATGCAATAATAACAACTAATTACCGAAATTAATTAAAAATTACTCGTGCTTCGTGAAAATTCACTTTCTTCGGATAAATAACAACCTTGAGGCTAGTAAACAACTATATAATTAATTGGAATGAATTCAACATCAACAACTATTTTATTTAATTTTTGGAAAAAAATGCTCACTAAACTGTTTGCGCTTCTTTGGTATGAAGTAACAGTCAGTCTATGCAATTTTTGACGCGATTTTCACTTGGATCATTCGGAAACAGTCTCTTTGTGCTTTTAGTACAGGGGTAAGACTGCGTACATCCGACCCCCCCCTTACCCCACCGTAGGTGGGAGCCTTTGCGGCACTGGGGTAATGATGATGATGAATGATGATGATTTTGGAAGAAAATGCGAAATACTAGATAAATATTCTGGAAAAATTCAAAGAACAGATAGAGAAAACAAAGCACAGATTCAGATTCTACTGGTTGAGAAGATGAAAATACATATAAAGAACTTACAATTTGAAGCTAAAATGAAGAAGATATGAAGATTTGAAGTTTCTCTCTCCCAAAAGAGCTTGGAGCTGCGGAAATGGAGGATGAAGAGAGGCTATTCGAACTGATTTAGGGTTAGAAGAGGTGTGTTTGAGTTCAGCAGAAATCGGGCTATTTATAGGAGCAATTTGCCCGTAGGTGGTCTGAAGGGCGGCCGCCCTTCGCCTGGATCTGGCCACCTGCCGTCTTTTCACCGGTAACGGAATCTGCCTCACTTCACATCACCGCAGGCGGTCACGGAGGGCGGCCGCCTGCCGTTTCTATCTGGCCGCCTGCTGTCTTTTCACACCGACGGTCGTTGGCTTTGTCATCTTGTGCCTTAGGCGGTCACCGACGGCGGCCGCCCTTCGTGGGGTGTCGGCAGCCTTCGGTCTTTTCCGGGTTCGAGTCAAAGTCGAATATTGACTTTCCAAAAATAGCGGTAGGCGGCCTGGAGGGCGGTCAGATCTGGGCGCCTACCGGACCGCCTTCAGGCTAGCTTCTTTGACCGTCTTGTTTTGTATTTTGCGCTCTTCAACATTCCCTTCTGGACCACTTTGAAATTATGCTTCCTTCTTTAGATATTGATTTATTTGTCACTCAAATTGATTCATTTTGTGCTCAATTGGCCCGAAATTTCACCAAACATATTATGAATGTAATTTTCACCTGAATTCATGAAATTTGAACCAAAATATCCAAATCGTGCCTTGTTTTTCTATTTTCTATACAAATATCGCTTAATTTTGATAAGAAAAATAAGTACAAAAATGGACTTATCATGCACCCAGAAAAGCTCCAGGTATGCATGGTATGAATCCGACTTTTTTCCAACGGTATTGGAATATTGTGGGACCTGAAGTGGTGGGATTATGTAAGGAGGTCTTCAATGCTGGGAAAATTTTGCCAGAATTAAATCTCACAAATATTGTATTAATTCCTAAAAAGGAGAAGCCAGTGGATATGGGGGATTGGAGGCCTATAGCGCTATGTAATGTGGTTTACAAAATTTTCTCTAAACTTCTCGCTACCGTATGAAAGGATTGTTGGGAGATTTAATTGGGGAAAATTAAAGCGCATTTATTTCGGGTTGGTCGATAGTTGACAATATCTTAGTGACTTTTGAGACACAACACTGGCTGAAAAGGAAACAAGGATGGAAGGAGGGTTTTGTGGCCTTAAAACTGGATATGAGTAAGACCTATGATAGAGTGAACTGGAATTTTTTAAAAGAGATCATGGAATGCATGTGATTTGAAGATAGATAGGCACGAATGATTCTGGAGTGTGTAACATCGGTCGGTTATTTTGTTCAATTTGACAAAAGGAATTTGGGGCCGATAATTTCAGGAAGAGGACTAAGACAAGGAGACCCTTTATCACCTTATCTTTTTATTCTAGCTGCAGAGGGACTGAGTTTGTTGCAAAGGAAAGCCGAAGGTAGGGGGGATATACATGTAGGGTTGTAAACGAATCGAATCGAGTCGAATAATGAGATTTTGTATTTGTTTAATTTTTTCGAATACGAATTCGAATTCAAATATGAAACGAATATTAATTTCGATTTGTATTTGTATTTGTTTAACAATACGAATAGTTAACGAATCATATACAAATATCGAATCGATTTGAGCATAGCTTAAATATTAATCAAATATCACTCTAAAATAATTTTTCTTATACTCCGTATTTTGTATGTTATAAATGCCTGCTATGACTTAATATGTGTTTTTAGAATTTAAATTTAGTAGATCAATGCATTTTTAGATGGTGCACAATATACTAAAGTGAATTAATTTTATGATTAATAAATATAAATCTATTTCAAACCTTTTGAAATAAACACTAACACACACATATTAGAAATTATACTTATAATGTGTGAAATAAGTTGATAATTGTATATATCAAAGTCAAACAAATCTAATTTTATTCTTCAAATCGAATACATAATTATTTGTATTGTATTTGAAAGACATTTGAACAAAAAAAATGATTTATATTCGTATTTATATTTTGATTTATTACAAATGGGCTTGAAATCT